TGGTGTAGGTGTTTTCATTATAAGCTATACATTATCACATGGAAAACAGTTGTTTGTATTCACCTTCTGTAATGTTCTATCAATAAAGAGGAGTATGCTTTGGGATCAGGCATAGAAGTGTGGGAAAATTTCCTCTCTGCTTAGTAAGACACCACTGCTGATTGACTTGCTGAATAGTTCCATCTCAATTATGGCTGATTGTCTCTTGGTAAATAGATATCTGCATTTACCCATTCTTGAAACTGTCGGGAGCATGGAACACAGGACATTCCCTCTGCCAGTATATAGCATACTAGCCAAAATAGGTTTGCCAAAAGTATTCAGAAATGTGTCCATTTTATTGATGGACTGCTAGCAATAACCAAATCAAAACTCAGCAGATGGCTGTGTAACAAGTTTGTGTGTCTGCAATGCATGTGTCAACATTATGAAGCTTCCACATGTCAGGTGAGAAAGCAAGCAAAATACCTATAGCTGGGCATTTTCATCTACTGAGGCTTTACTGATTTGATGAACTTCAGTGCAAATGTATTTATTAATTTTATGGACAAATATTTTACTGGTAAAGCCTTAAGAATTTGCAAAGATCATGAACAAGTAATGATACGAATAGTAAGAAGAGACTTCTTACTTTAATAACTCTCTCTGTTATGAATATATGCTAACACAGGATTTCTTTCCTTTTCCAACATGCTGATATAGTCTGTTGTGATTCTTATTGTTTAAGTGTGTGCCCCAAGCCAGCTAAGGAAATCTATACACGTAAACAGGCTTGTTCATGTGTATATAAACGTGTGTGGATTGGGAAATGTGGGCATAACACTGGATTCACATCTGCATTGCATAACTAATGGCACATCAACAGCTTTTTTAACAAGTATTTTCTGTTTCCCATTATAATTTATGACTACATTATTTCATTAATAGCAACTATCATGAGGACAGTCACATTTTAAAACAAAAAGCATGAAAGCAAGCAAATGCACTGTTTTAATTAGCATTTATAGACAGACTAAGTATTTAGAATTTTATGGCACTTTGGTGATCATCTGAAATCTGACATATCCAGTAAAAACACAAAAGAACATATTGCCCTGTTAGAAAACACTCAAACAGTGAAGGTGGAGCAAGGAGCTGATATCATCCTTTTTCCAGCAACATGACAGTTGGAATGTTAAACATAGGAATGTATTTTACTTGCTGAGGGACAACTCTCTAGAAGTCTCTTTAAAAAGTTCACTGTGGCTGCAATCTCATGTGCACTTACCTCAGAATGGTCATATTAAATATAGCAAATGAACTCCAAATATACATATGTAAGATCAGAGTGCAGTGTGTAAAATATATGCTAATAAAATTGCACAGCACATCCATGAGTTCTTAGTACATGTTTTGTGTACAGTCAGATCCTATGAAAGTTTCTATATAAATACAGTAATGTCTTTTTCCTATATAGAGCTTTATACATGTGAAACTTATGCTACAATAAAAATCTATACAAATTTTACTGGTGTAAAATGTACATCTTTAAAAAACAACAGCCATTCCATTCCACGCAAACACATTAAAAGCACAAACTCAGAAATACCTCAGCAGTTGGGTATAAATATTAGTCTTCATTACATCCCATTGGTTAGAAATGGTTATAAGATTGCCACTGGCTGGTGCTAACTGTGCTTGGGAAGACCAGTGGTGCTCAATAAATCCATGGTTTTGGTATATACCAAAGTAAACATTACCAGGCCTATTTTTAAATTGATGGAGTACTGAAATCAAATGACAAACTCCATCTTTCTGAAGTACATCATAATAGTACAACATATCTCTATCTGTTACTGCAGCTTTCCCCAACCTTGTCCCTTCCAGACACATTTGGACTATAATACCCAGAATTCCAAGTCAATGGCTCTCCCAGATGGGAATTCTGGGAGTTGTGGTTCAAATGCCTCTGAAGGCCACCAGGTGGGGAAGGCTGTGTTACTGGACAGCGATTTTCCAGTGTGGCATGTCTCCATTGATATAGAAGGCTTTTCTCTTAAACATTTTGACCTCTAGATATACAAAGCACTTCCTCTTTTCACATATTTATTTTAAACCCATTTACAAAGGTGTATTCTCAATTGCCCAAAGACAGCTCTGTGAAACTCTGTTTTTTCCATGGTGAATGGTGAGGAAGTGTTTCATTAATAGTGCAAATCTTAAGTGTGTCTTAGGATTTGCACTCTAAATGCATTGTCTTCTCCATTTGGAGTGTGTTTCTTTCTTTAGACATATATAAATTGCTCATTATATGCTTAGGATGCATATTTGGCTCAGTAGCACTCCATATTGGTGATACCCAAGACCCAAAGAAGTGACAATTCAGCTCCCTAACATTTATTTATTTATTTTTTGATTTATATCCTGCCTTTTTCCTACAAAGGGCTCAAGGCAGCTTGCATCTCCTCCTCCATCTTATCCCCACAACAACAACCCTGTGAGGTAGGTTGGGCTGAGAGTCTGTGACTGGCCCAATGTCACCCAGTGGGCTCCATGGCCAAGCGGGGACTAGAACCCGGATCGTCTGAGTCCCCGTCCCACGCTCTTAACCACTGCACCACACTGGCTTTATGAGGAGTTAAGGTAATTAAGTAGCTGCTGGGAACACACAAAGTTTTAACAAAGATATAAGGAGTAATCTGTATTTGTATCCTGAGACAGAACAAAAATTCTGTGAAGAAAAAGATACAAGTAGAACAGGCTTGCTTTGATGGATGTAGTCTTATGATTTCATCTGTAAATATGATGAACCTGCCTCACCCTCCTAATGTAAAGTCAAAACTGCCACACAGCTATAATTGATAATGACAGCTTTGGCAGGAATTGTGCAGGAGAAGGTGTTGCCTACCTGATGCGCCCAGGTGTGTTTTTCCGCGAATTCCAGAGGGGGAGCCACAATGGCAGGTCACAGGAAAAATGTAGGCTCTAGTCCACAAATGCTTATGCCATAATCAAATATTGGTAAATTTTGTTAGCAAAACATTTCATTGTTTTCCACAATGAATCCTCCTGAAGCTTCCCAAGTCTGTTTGGGTTTGTTTGTTTATTAGATTTGGATCCCACGTTTTTCTGTTCAAGAACTTAAAACAGCTTACAACATTCTCCTCCTGCTGCTCTCAATCTTATCCACCAACAACCCTGTGAGGTTGGGCTGAGAGTCGATGACTAGCCCAAAGTCCCCCCTTTGGCTCCATGTTGCTCAGGAGAACCCAGATTGCCTGTTAAAAGACCCGCACTTTTAACCACTGCATCACACTGGCAATTTTTGCTGATGTCTAGAAAACGGCCAAACTTCAGAATTTTCATCACAAAGATTTAAGTTTGTGCCAAGTATGGAGTTAAGTCATGTGGGAAAATATGAATGGTTATTTTTAAATATAGTCTTTGAAAGAAGGACCCAACTTTCCTTGCAGAAGCAAATAGGCTGTATCATGCCTGTGAGCTGTCTCGTGATACATTTCAGGTAACTGATCAAATGACCTGATGCTTTTTCATTCAAAAAATGCGATCCTGGAAATAGCAAGGTGGCATGGAGGCAGGGAAAGGTATAAGGTAGAACCAGATATGTTAGTCTGCTATGTAGAAAGAATGGTTTTTGTATGGCAAAGAATCCAATTTTGTGAAGTTCTGTGCTCAAGACAAAGATGCATTACCTCCGTGAGGCAAAGATCAGTATGGCTCAGTGGGGGTGCCCATGTTGAGGTGCAAAAAGTCCCACTGCCTGGCCTGCTCAAATGGAGCAGGGAAAGATTCCTGGCTGGAATCCCAGAGAGCTACTGCCAGTCAGTGACCAGCTTGTGGTCCTCCAGATATTTCAGCCTGCAACTGCCATTAGCCCAAACCTCTATAGGCCATGATAAGGAATCAGGGACCCGCAGACCAAACTATCTGGAAGACTACAAGTTGCCCACCTCTGGTGTAGACAACACGTTCAGCACAAAACAGACTTTTTCAAGGATGCTATGGCACAGCAATGGTTTTAGCGCACGGTTCCATGCTGGCTGGGGCATTCTGGGAATTGTAGAACTTCTAATGTCTAAATATATGTAAGATTGTGCCTGTGGTTACTCTCATGTGTGAATTTGATAACTGGGGACTCCCTAGAATATCATGGTATGAACCAAGTCATAGTGAAGTATGATTTCTTCCAGAACATATCCATGCATTCTAAACTGGTCACCAAGTTCATTAAACTAAGCAAACCAATCCACATTTCACTGGGATTCACTGTTTAGAAATCCATTCCAAAAACTTTTCATGGATTAAGTTGAAATAAATCACAACTCCTTGTATTCCAGGATACTTATTTCAATTTATCCATCTTCCCTAAGGCAAGAATGAGCTGTTCAATCCTTTCCTAAAGTGAGAGTCACAGCAAAGAGACCAAGTCCATGTTAAAAAGCACAATAAGAAGTATCCTATTAAAGCCATAAATCACATGTGTAACTTGCTGGCTGTTTCTTACTATTCAACCACCTTTACAGTGAAAGACATGAAGGATCTCCTCATACAACCCATACACTGAGATAAAGGATACACATAAATCCACATTTCCCTCATTCAGAAAGCAGAATAGCTTACTTTCAGGCTCCAGAGTAAAAACTAATGCCCTTATGATTTCCTCCCATTACATATATCTCTCACAGCATTATTATAAATCACATTTATCCTGGAATACATTTTTTAAAGTCTTCACAAGAAAGGCAAATATATCCCCAAATACAACTATACAGCATTGTTATAGGTCACATAAAACTGTACATTTTTCCCCATAGAAGGACATATGCCAAATAAAATAATATTAACATCAACAAATAATAGTCTTCCTTCTTCCCTTTAGGAGCCGATTTCCACCTCCCCGTTACCCCACATTTTTTGTACATAAATAGAAGAAAATAGTCTTTAAAATATTTACATCCACTAGAAGTTCCAGGTAGTGCTAATTAGTTGTCATTGTGCCTTTAGTTTTCATTTTCTCTCCAGCCACGGGCATTCTTTCCAAATTTATATACCAGTCTCCGACCATCTACACGCTCAAGAATTTCTCTTTTGTAATAATATCTGTTAAAAACAAGTAATGAAAAAAGATGTATCAGAAAAATAGACAGGTGATGTTAGATGAACGCAGTGATAGGTGAGCTTCCCCCCTTCGATCACTCTGGAATTGGGCTTAGGAAATTAAGGGATTGTTAAAGCACACTAAGGCCTATTCCACAAATAATTCAGATCCAGCCCTGCTTCTAAAGAGTGCAAACCCACATTCGCCCAGGAACACCCAACTCTTACGCATAAGGCTGTATAGCTTGTACCACTGCACCCCTGGATTATCCTCATCAAGAAAAAACAAACAAACTGAAAGTTCCATGCACATAATTACAGCAGAAGTGACCAAAGGTCCCTGTGCAGCTCAGCTGTTAAGGAGTATTCATGCAAAGTATTTCACTTAGGAACGAACAATCCTACAATCTGGGATTTTCAGATTTCAGGATATAGAGACTGCACTCTATGGGAAATCAGAGCTCTGAGCCCACTCTCCACAGGCAGCACAGAAAGAACTGTGCCACCTGGTCTCGGATGTCAGGAAAACAACCTTGGAAAGCGGAATAGTGTGGCACTAAGGAGGACACGAGAAGGATCAGGATATGAGGAGTCCTTCTCTCCCCTGCCAAGATGCTCCAGCTTGATGGCTAAACATGACTGTCAAGTAAAAATGCAAAGCAAAAGGGTGTGGAGGCCACACTCATCCTGCTCTGCATTGGATGAACAATGTCTCCAAGTTTGGAAGCTTATGCTCATCTCCATAGGATTCTGCCCTTAAGGAATGGATTATGCAAAGTACAGTACTGTGATTATTACATTAAGCAGAAATGGCAATGGTAAACATGTAGATTATCATGATCCAAGATTTGATATTCCAGGAGGACTTGTGGCAGGTCATGCGCACAGAAGTTGTGGCAGTCAAAGACAAAATACGTATCATAGGATTAAATTCAATTATTAGATTTCTTACTCTATCATCCCCACTGCAGCTGTCTGTGCTGCCTAAAAACCTGTTCTGAAGGGTTTCCTAGCCTTCTGGGGTAGTGGCTGTGGGGCAGAGAGAGGAGGAGCCCATCCTCAATTCCACTGATGGGATCGCTTTTGTCAGCAGAGTGACAATATTGGGCACAACCCACAGTTGGCTCCGCAGTTCTGCAAACTTAGAAAAGACAGAACCTTCTGTTTATATGAAGACAGGAGAGAATATAGTAATAATTACTTATTACTTTAAGATGTTATTTACAGAACTGGGGCTTCCAGTGGTGGTCCTAGATTTTGCATCTAGCCATATTACCTTACTTTCACTCAGGACAGAAAAACCTCAGGAAGAAATTATACAAAAAATTATATCACATTTTTACCAATTAATACATTAAACTTTTTTTAGTTTACACACGATTCAGTCCCCTGGGATTTCAGCCAGTTATCTTGTTTTATGTGGCATACAGGCCACGAACTAACCTTATTGTCTGTCTAAGCCAAAACGTTCTCACTCCTTATTACCTCATGGCACGGCTCAGTTTCTCATAAGTCATGCTGCTGTTGTTCTTCTTCTTTCCCCACAGCTGAGCCACTGCCTCCGATTTTAAGAATCTGAAGATGCCTTCTGATCGGTCTTCCCATTTTATCAAACCTGGATTCTTCTCTGGATGTAGAAGAATGTCTCGGATAAATTCCCACAAGTGGGTCCCTCGAGGAGCTAAATAAACATGGTGTTAAAAAGAAAAAAAAATATTTTGATCTAAAGGGGAAAAACCCTATGTATTTCTGTATCTTAAAGAGAAATCCTAATACTATTTAAAGAAGGAAAGTTATATTTGAGCAACTGTTGATGCTGTTAGGAGGAGCAATTCACCTTTCCATCTTGCGTGCATAAGCTGACATCAAGACAAGGAAAGAAATCTAAAATGTTCGCCTTCTCGTGTGTGTGTGTATGTCCGCGAAAATTGCATTTACTCTGAAATGATAGTTTTCAGGTCATTCCATCAAGATAACCTGGAAAGAACTGTCATGCCATTTTTATTATGAATAGCTATCTAGTTCCCTCTGTGCTTCTCATCTGAAAAGTTTTATCTGCACTGTTTCTGCACACACATTGTAACTATTACAGCCATTCCCTCTTCCTGTATGGTCACTGCCACTGGTCCCACCTGGTCCTTTCATGCTCCCTTTCCAATTTCAACACTGAAAATTTTGTGAAATAAGAGCAGGTGGAGCTATGTGCCTCAGACCCGTGGGTCCATCTAGCCCAGGTTTCTGTTCACAGAGTGATCAACCATCTACTCCTGCTCTCCACTTTCCATTCTTTAAACCTTTACTGATCTTTAAAAGGACCTCCCCTCTCATTTCATGATTGCTAAATCTGCTCAGGAATCTTTGATAATGATGCAGGATTCTATCATGAATAGATTTCATCATGTTTGTCCTCAAATGATGACTATTTCTGTCCAAACTGTGCATTTTTACAGCTGCAATATAATTCACCTTCTAGATCTCTATCAGTAACGTTTTCATCAATGGAAGAATGAATCCATGACAATCCAAGGTTTGCTTTTATAAGCTAAAGTTCTCACTAACAGCAAAGCAAGCTCATATCTGATGTTGTTTTTTGAAAGCCACATTACATTTCCATTTCACCTGCCTACTTTAAGCTGAGATAGTAAAAGGGTCAGTTCAAAAATGGCACATTCTGGGAAGAACTCTCAGCTTGGTTTCAGACTTTTGGATGTCTTCCTCATGGGAATGATGGTCTGGGACATAACGTCTGTTCAAGTCAGAATGTAATACATAATTATATAATTTCAATCCTCTGTAATTTATGCTGGCCTGAGGCATTTTGTTGCCAGAGATGAGCAGCAAATTGCAACCACCATCACTAACCCCCAAGGCAAGGCAAAGTACATAGAACCACAAAGTGGTCAATTCATTTGAAATCTACAAGTGTTTCTCCCTGAGGCCACAAACATTATAATTTAAATGAAAAAGTAACAATATGCTGCCCTTTCATGGCACTCAACACCAGTTGCCTGAGTCAGCCCCTTCTCTAGCCCTGTTCCGGAGTTCTTTCACACATGAAGAGAGGGAGCGGGGCTTCCAATTGTGTTCCCTACAATTGGTATGTCTACAGAAGAGGAAAGTGGATTGTACAGGATTCCCACTCACTGGAAAAGCCTACGTATAGTTACCTGTGGACATGTCCCCTACATGCCAACAGCATAGAACCAGGGCCAGCAGCAGATAGGATGGTGGAGGCCAGGTCTGCATGAGCAACCCAATCTTTGCCCATACAGTGTGAACTGTATGCAGAGAAGATGCCAGTACTTACGCCCTTTTATTGAAATAGCTCTATAGTGGCTGACTTACTGTGTTTTTTGTGGGATTTTGCAGGGTGATCTTGTGGTAACTTTTTCACATCTGAAGAATCTTCTGTAACACAAAAGGGAATCAGTTCTTGTACCTACACACCCAAATCCATTTTGCAGGTGATTACCTTATTGTGATTACACAATAAGGCACATCTACACAACTGCAAGCTATGCTGCTGCCTTTCAAAATTCCCAAAAGCTGTTTAATGAGCACTAACTAGATAGCACATTACAGTAGCCAAGTCAAAAAAGGACCAGAGCATCCAACATAGGAGCCTCTACTCCAGGGAAGGACAAAATTGATCGAACAGACAAGGCAAAGCAACTGACTCAATAAGTATAAACTTCCTATCCCTCTTCCCAGTCACACTCCTGCCCAAACTGGATTATTGGATCCTTTATTTCATTTAAACACTAAATTAACCAATATCGACGTGTATTAAAAGGCAGCCATTCTCAAGCTGCAGTCCACCAGAAATAGGGTGCAGGGGAGGTGAGAGAGAATACACGGCAACTACTCAGAAAACAGCACAACAAATGGATCTGAAAATTGGCAGTACAAGACAGGTTGGTGGTTTGAGAATGGTTTGTGTTTTTGACATAGAAAGGGAAAGAAAAGCATATCTCAAGGTGTCAAGTCAGACAGTTGACGCCCAGCAATTTGACAGATATTGTTTAAAAGAGGTGGGTCTGAAGGTGATCCATGCTGACTTTGAAGTTGACTTTGAGGTTTCCAGCAGTGCTTAATCACATGCCTCCAGAAAGGACACAAATAGAGTGCAAAGGGGCATCAACCCTTCTTCATGAACATGGAGTTTATATCCAGCTGCCATGACTAAAAGGTACCAAATCAGGTTTCCTGTACAAATTTGCTTACTCTTCTTTTCATCCAAGATAGTTACCATTATCATGGTCACTTTCCCCTATATTTGGGCTTAATATAGGAGCACAGTTGACTGCTTCTGTCTCTGAGATCAGCCTTATTCTTTGTCTTCATTTTACCCTATCATTACTGTTTTTGGGTTTTGCCAGCCCACCAGCCTTGTACCACATAATGTGAAGACCTGCTCAGTTCCTTGTGATGGACAGAGAATCCAGTACTCTCTCTAGGTGCATGACAGGCAGAAATTCAGCAGGTTTAACTTTTTCCTAGCAGATAATTCTTGTAGAAATTTGGCTTGTACCACTGCAGGGGCTGTAGGAGCAAGATGACTCCATGGATTATTTAGTAACTTTTTTGGTTTAGACTAGCATTTTAGAAATTGCAGGCCAATGTATAAGTCAAGCTAAAAATTAACTCATTCTGAAATCCAGCTTTCCTAGGGTTTTCCCTCATCCAGCTGTTCTCTAGGACAATATATGGAATAATATTCTTTTCTAAGGACTTATTTGAGGCAGAGAACAGTATGTTTGACTTCCTATGCGATAGGATATTTTAATAATTACATGTTCCTAGAGCTCTTGTGTGCATTTTCTGCGCATTTGCAGAAATCAGCAAGACAATCATTTGGCAGAGGACAAAAGAACAAATGCAAGCATTTAGACTGATTCCAGTAAGAATGGGAAGGAGCCATTACTGACTGCTACTAAGACCTCAGAAGATACCTGAATAACAATCATATACTAAATTTACAAGTTTAGAAGTCTATTGGAGTTTTATGCTTAATATATATTATGATAAACACTATATCAGAATTCTGTAGATTCTCATGGTTCTATATTTCTTGAAAAAATAATCAGCATTTCATAATATTTCATAAATACATGCTTCACAATATTACTTTAATGGGATAAACATGTTTTTAAAATGTATGTTGAAATGCTTCTGTGTGAATTTTTACCCTTCTAAATGGAGTGTGTATCTTAATATATGTTCCTTTCTTTTTCATTGAGTTTCATATTTTCAATTTCAAGTTTGCCTGTCAGAAAATTGGAGTCATAAACTTGTTAAATGTAATCATATTGTATTAAACTTTTTGGTTATCATGTTTTGTTAAGGGCCTTCCATGTTCATTCAAGCATCAAAATTCAGGAAAATTGCAGCTGTTCAAGGGCATGATCTTAACAGATGCATTATCTGGGCAATATGGAAATCGTGTAACATCCTATCATGTGACTACTTCCAACTTCATCAGTACCTTGGACCAGAGTGTTGCAGCTCTGTTTATGGAGAAGCGGATTGTTGGAACAAAGATTCTTTTATTTTTCTGTTTGCTGGAACAGACATTTGGGGTCTATGCAAATAAAACTATCATGCAACTCGATCTAGAGTTCCATATTGAAGGTACTCAACTGGTAGCCAATAGCGTTGGCATAGATTTATGGACATGAGAGTTCCATTTAGCTGACACAGCTCTATCCTCCCTACATTGGTTGGTTGGTTTTTAAGTCTATGCTTGTAGCCAAGACCACATTTTATCTTAGTGAATCAGGAACATAGGAAGCTGCCTTAGACTAAGTCAGACCTTAGGCCACTCTACTATTGTCTATAGTACTGTACTCTAGTGCAGTACAGTCTTCATGACTGGATATAGCTGTGTATAGTTTCATGTAAGGTGCCATTCCTAGCCCTACTTCGAGATGCCAGGTTTCAACTCTGGGGCCTTTGATGACTTCCTGCTAAAATGACAACATATGTTGTCTACTGATGTGGGTTTTTTACTGGAAGCACATGTGATGGCAACAGATACACATCTGCTGACAAGCTATCTGGTGGAAGAGGACTATGTAACAGGTACTTCAATCAAGTTCAAGGAAATAGCAGTTTTAATTCATAAATAATTCTTGTTTTCAGTTCAAAATCTGTTTATCGAATCTGATGCTTGGGTTTTATTTCCAGTTGGAAAGCATCATGAGAAAGTAATTCCTTTGATTAATGTGTATGGGCCTAATAATGATTCTATAGGCGTGTTTCATTACTGTCATAACAAACTGTTTGACAATGCATGAGATTATGAGATTGTGGGGGTGGGTACTTAATGAGGTCTTAGATCTCTTCATGGACAGGAAGTCCCCAGCTACCAACAGGAGAGCAATGGTGAGATTAGCAGTTTAGGCCTACATGGCAAAATTTGGCCAGATAGAACAACGTAGAATACTGCGCCCAGATGAGAGAGACTATATATTTATATCTTCTGTTTCCCATAATTGTCTCTTTTTTGTTTACACATCATTGTTATATCAACTCAGAGTGTACGATTGAAACATTGGTAATATCAGACCATATCCCAGTTTGTTTGGACCTGCTGCTTATGAACAACCCCAAACCTCATCATTTTTGATGCCTTAATCATTCCTTGTTAAATCACGAGTCTTTTAAAAATCAGAGTCATGCTGAACTACAAGAGTATTTTGAAATCACTGAGGGTACAACCAACTCATGTTGCACTGAGAGCTAGCAAAGATTTTATCCAAGGTTGAATTAATACTTATGCTTTTCATAAAAATAATTATATAAAGGAGCAGCAAATAGTTCTAAGTGATAAGCTTCAAACTCTCATAAGTCAGTTTGCCACCACTCCAAATGCTCAACCTTATCAAAATGGTGCAAATTTTTTAAAATGAGTTTGGACAAGACCTTTTCACTACAGGTAGAATTTGCACTAGGCAGACTTATCATGGGAGAATGGCAGACAACCCAGTAAATATTAGCAAATCACCTTTGACAACAAATACTTCAAAACAGTATCTCAGTGATAGTTGCAAGATATTCACTCATCCTAAAGACACAAATTTTCACTGCCTAATGGTAGGGCCGGGCCAGCTGTGCTTATCAGGGCGCAAGTGCCACCAGAGGATTGCAGTCAATTGCACAATGCGTGGATAAATGTTTTCTTTTCTCAGCCCACAATCTACTGCCAGTCAACCTCACTGAGTAATCTAAGTTCCCATAATATGAGGAAGGGCCAAAAAGTTTCCTTCGTCAAAAGTAAAATCAGATTCAACGAAGAGCTAATCCAGCCACACCTTATACAGAATCCTATGTTAGCCATTCTTCACCAAAATGTGCTAGAGCATTTGTCTTTAAGGAATGACCTTTCCCCTCTACCATGAATGTATGTATGCGTGCATGTAGCAGCATCAGTATAACATACATCTCCCTGTCTGAACACAACCATCTAGCAAGCATTGTTTTCAAGAAGAAGCCGAACAGTCTGCAGGACTACCAGCCAAACATGATTAAGATTTCTTGGCAGCTGGAACCAGATATTTTACTGCCAGACTTATAGCGACATGCTTTCTCCTCTTTTCCAAGTCATGCAACCTTTATCCTGGGTGGGGTGATGGTGCGGGAGGGGGGAAGGCAGTGGGATTTCTGAGTGCTAGCAATTCTGAACCAATGAAAGCTAAAAAGTTCCCTCTACTCAAGATTTATTGCCTAAGCAAAGATCTGGATCCTTAATTTATAGCAATGGAGAAAAAAGAAAGTCATAATATGTGTCTAATTGACACCTGGCAGCCAGTTTTTCCATTTATCAGTGCAACATCACCACTTCCCAGAAACCTGTGTTGTTTAACCTTGCAGGTTAGTGCCACAGAGACTTAAAGCCCACACACATTCTTCCACCTACGTGCATGCATAAACAGTCACCATAGCTATCAATGAAAATTAGTGATTTGCATGTGCAAATGACTTACAGTAACTACCAGCTTCTCTCTACAAACTTGTCTGAACAGTTTTGTTGCAACACTGATAAGCATGCCAGTAAAATGGCTGCAAACTGGAGCAGGAGAGGAAAGCATGCAATGGGAGTCCTTTACTCACAAGTCAAGACCAGCTAATTATAGCTGTCCTTTTCTTCTTGACCAAACTCAGAACACATCCTCCTCCTGTGAAACTGCTGAGCCGGTGGGAAAGCCACACAAACAAATTAAACCTTGGTATTTAAACTTGTCCCGAGGCCACCCCACCATTAAACCTAGGGCCATTGTGAATTTTTGTTCTGAAAACAGTTATCCTGAGAATTTAAATTACGCCATTAAGATTCTAGATAAACACATCTTAAAGCCCATTTGCTACCTCATGTTATTTTGTATTATCCCTGCTCCTGGAGGGAAATGCTTGCTGCTTTTGAATTAGTTGGCTATTTTGTTCTTTCTTTCCAAATCAAGTTGCAATCCTGTGCTGAGTTTCACTGCTTGAGGATTGGTATGATCTATGGAAGTCCATTATGCAGGCAGAACATCAGAAAAGTTGCCACCGTGACTGATGTAGCAGAACATTCTGCAGGCAGGAGTGTTCCACCAGCAAAGACAGCACAAGGGAGAAGCGCTCTTCAATCCACAGCCGCCCCACCCAAGATTACTCTGACTGGACCAGCTCCATCAGCCCCCCCCCACCTGGCACATGAAGCTTCTCTCCCACTGATTTCAGAGGACATGGCAAGGCGCAAGTAGAGTTGATGTGGACCACCCTGGTCCACATGTCCATGACAAAACAAAAAATATGGTGTAGCATGTCGTGACCACATTGGGAATGCTGTGTCCAGTGCTGGTTTAGTGCAGCTCAAAAAAGATGCTGTAGAGTTGGAAAAGTGAATGGGAGAGTATCCAGAAATCTGGAGCAAGTCTTCTATGAGGGGAAATGGTGGGTAAGAGAGATGCGACAGAAGTATATAAATGTGTGTGTGTCTGGCTATGTTGCATGTTCAGGGGCTTCCACTCAAGGGCTCCTCCTCTTCTCTAGAAGTTTCTTGAATTTCAGGAAGCTGCGTGGTGTCTCTTGTCCTTCCTCCTTTCTCTGCTCCAAAATTAGTGGTTGTGAAGGGCATGAGGGGACTCCAACAATGGCCTGTAGAAATGCTTAGAGACGAGGAATAATAATGTTATAGCTAGCTGTGCCACTGGACTGGTGGACCCAGGGTGACATGCAGTCATGTTTGTTTGTGTGGTGATGATGCAGGTCTGTGTGCTAGAGGAACATCCCTGTTGCCGTGAGCTTAATGGCTGCCTTTGTGTGTGGGAGTTGTCTCCAACGTAGTCACTGATTGGTGGGTGCTGTGGCATTTTTGGGGACACTGTAACCATGGCTGTTCTTTTAATGCCAGTGTGGGTGTTGACCCCTTGTGCAATTTCTCTCATTCCTCCTGGGCTGAGCATCTGTTGGATATGGCAGTTGCCATGCTGGTTTGTCAGTAGTTCTAGTATAATGTAAGGAAAGGACTATTCTCCCTGCTTCTCAGAGAATTTGTAATTAATTGGTAATATTTTATGCCTGCAAAAACATTGGCTTATCATTTCACAGAAAGAGATGTTTAAAAAATGAGGATCTTTCAAAGGCTGTGCCTTGACAAATGCAACAAAAAAAGATGTATTAACAAAGGTGCCTTGCAAAACCTGAGAGAGAGGGAAATGGCTGATATTTGCATATGATTCAGGAGTCAGTCACCCCTTTTCACAGAATATACAAATTTGGTTTTTACAACATGCTGTGCCCTTGGTGTGCCAACCCTTCTTCTAGGATCAACTAGTGAGAGTTCACCACAAAGGGAACTTGACTGAACCTCGCTACTGTCAGAGGGATTTGAAGAGCTGGCAGTCATTTTATGAGAATGGGCGGACAGCGAAAGAAAAGAAAAATATCAGCTGCTGAGCTCATTTGTTTGAAGACTGAGGAAAAGCAGGCTATACAGCTGCTGTAAATCAGCACACATGTACCCAGTTTTCTATCCATACTGCTAACTGCCTATTTAGGGACAGGGTTTCCATCTCCCTCACCCTGCAGACTGGCAGGGATTCTGTGCCCAGAACAGTTGCAAGAGATGAAAAAATTAAAGAATGCATGGTGCAGAAATGAACAGACAAAGCTTTGCTTGTTAAAGAGCAAATCAAAGATCAGAGGTACTAGTTTTTCATCACTGCATCTCCATGGGGGTTTTGTTGCAGGAGAGGGCAGGATGACCAGGTACACTTGTTGAATTTTTACTTGCATGGATATCTGTACTGTAAGGAGGCTGTCCAGAATAAAAAAGTTGCATTGCACATGTACCTATTAATAGATTGGCATTTTTGGTCCCTTGTGACCTATACTGCTCTTTTAATTTACTTTAAATTATTTTTTACTTCTTACTGTTTCATCTACTGTATTTTATTATTTTTATATTTTATTGTACATCACACAGAGGCTTCAGCTATGGGTAGTATAGAAATTCATCATCATTATCTACTCTCCACATTTCCCTCCAACTCCATTTCTTTTTTATTTGTTCTCAGCAAAGAATTTCTCACTGTTTTTTTGGCCACCATCAATCAATCTTTTACATTTGTGCAGAATTGTTTGTACTGTTCATCAATAAAACTTGAAAACTAAGTATACCACTCCCCTATACCATTCAAACACTCATTTATTTGAAACCCACTCCAACCCACACGACATTTTCTAGCTTCCTCCCTTACATCAAAGGTCATGGTGTTGCATCATGTCATCTGTGATAAAATGGCTGCCCTGGAAATTTCCTCACATAGCACAGGGCTGTAGAATGCAATTAATGCAAAATTATTGGGAAACATGAAAAAAAAAAAAAAAACAGGCCATGTTCAGAGGAGCAGTCTCTGAACATTTTCAAAATGGCCCTTAAGTCAAAACACTTGTTACCTACCAAAAGAAACCCACTACAGACATTTTTTTAAGTGCCTGGAGGAAGCAGATAACTGATCTTATATCTAAGCGCTAATGCATTTTTTGCACAATTTTCAGTGTTTGAAACCAAATGACTCAAAACCATGTGGTGATTCAATCATGTATTTTCACCATTTGTTTGGTAGAAAGCCAGGGTATGAATAAAGCAAAATTAATAAATTAACTGATCCAATGGAGCAGCCACCATGAAGATTCAAAGTAATTCTTCCTACTTAACATTTTAAAAGCTATACAGTACCAGTGTGGACTTGTTGCAAATTATTTCTATTCAGGGTATACATTTATTTTAGTCAGACCGAATGTAGCCATGATGAAAAAAGGGTTAGATATAGCAATGGTTATAAGTATAGTCATAGTGATCATACGTTCTTTGCTTTGCTCTGCATAACACTGGTTCAGATGTGCATGTGAACCTTTCATTTCTGATCACTCAATTATGCAGCACTTGAAGGCTCCCGATTTAAAGTGTGAATTGATCCCTCTACAAAACATTTCACTTGAGATGGCCAGAAGTGGTATTCAATTTTTAACTATGCTGTTTGATCCTGATGATTCATTCACACCTGCAAGTAATCACAGGATGCTGCGATCATCAACATTCACAGTGGCGTTGTGGTTAAGTGTTGTGAGTAGGACCAAGATATCCCAGACCCAGGTCAGGCTCATGGCATTTTATATATGTCACTGTCCTCATATATTAAGGTCATTAAATGTGGAGAATGGAGGTGGAGTCTCATTCCATTCATTGGATCACATTGGATCCACAATCTGAAGTTTAAACCATCGAAACAGTCCCAAAACTGGAATAAATGTGCACACCATGATAATGTGATAAGGTCAGCAAAACTGATGGTGTGATTTGGCCTTCTTATTCTGAGGCATCTGGACTTAATAAGACTTTAGAAATTCTTACCAATTGGATGATAATTAGCAGCATTGACTGAAATCTGTGCTCGACAATAGGCTTTGCTGTCCACTAATTCTGAGGAATCAGAAAGAAAGAGTATAACTTAATGGGATGTCTTACAAAAATATCAGTGTCATTCCAAAAGATATTTCTTTGGTTGTTGTGTTAGTTACCTACTGTGCCACCATATCCACTATTGTAGAAATAATTGTCTTCTTTCCAGGATGCCATTACAGATGGATCTTAAACAATATAAGAAAAATGCACAACAAAAAGCAATCTTAGTAAAAGAATATTTTCAGTCCGATTTTTAAAAAATGCTTTATATTCAGAATAAACAGTTTAAACCTACAATAAGCACAATCCAGAGCAAGCAGACATTTGGATGTCTCACTGACTACAAGGAGCTAGACTCAGGTATTGTTATTCAACATCTAATCCATCTATACGAATACATGTTACTTTTTAGGAGAATTTTGTTTTTGTTTGTATTTCAAAAAAACATGTTTGGGGAGAGGATTGTCTCTTACAACAATAAATGTGATTGTGATTGAAAATGAATGACTTACTAAATCATCGCACTTAGCTAAGAATTATGACATAGGAATTCAGCCAATCTTTTTCTTACCAGCTACATGTTTGGGCATCCCAAACCTATGTCCATGCAACAAGTACACACCCTTTAGTTGTTTATACACCTCAACTATCCATTGTTTTCTCTAAAAACAAGCCTCACCCAAGTGGGACTAGGATGAGTTTTTGTTTTTCCAGTGCTGCACTATAGAAGCAGCAATATAAGCCATCTATTTAGCACAGGACAATTACAAGCTTTCATGTCATCGTTACTATACCATTGATACATGATATCCTTTAAGAAGAGATAAAAGAGTAGTCTCATGATGGATTTTTTTTTTTTTTTAGTTCATCCGCAAGTTGGGAGTGCAGCCTACATTGCCCTGAAGTCAGGGACAAATCTCCCAGTATTTTGAACAAACATGGACTGAATTTGCAGCCAAATAGGTACTGATCCAAAAGGCCAAAAAGTTCCCAGCCATTAATCATCAAACTCCTTTTGCAACCTAGTTTGTCAATGCTAGCATCAATTACCTGCCTTTCTAACTGTAAACACTCATGCATTTCCTTATACTACTAGCAGCACTATTATAATTTCTGTGAGAAAAAGATGCCTGAGTTTAGCTACATTTATTAGGAGTGTTGGACCATCTAACTGGCAGCAGCTTTCCAGGGTGTCACGCAAAGTTCCTTTCAACCACCTATGCCTTTCCTTTAAGGGGAGATGAGAGAAATCTAATCTGAGATTTTCTGCAAGCCAAGCAATGGTTTTAGCCAGTAAAAAGATAAAATGAAAAGGGGGACCTAGTTTGCATTATGCTATGTGATACGTATAAAAGTTCTAGGAAAAACAGCTTAGCAGTTTTGTAACACTGTAATAATCTTTTGTAGCATTGGTTCATTTTCTATGTTCTACCTTTCTCATTTGTATGAATTACCAAATGAGTACATTATTTCCATTTAGAAAAAACATTTTAACATGATTAGCTTTATTGAAACATAAGCAAATTCATTCCACAATTGAGCTAATGCAACGCATGTGTAGGTCCCTTTTCATGTCAGTGAGATATGAGCACCCCCTTTGCTTTCAGTCATTGTAAGTTGTTTGTCTGTTTGTTTGTCTGTTTGTTTGGAGTTTTTATATGCCGTCCCATCGCTTAGCACTTCAGGATGGCTTACATAAATAAACATAAATAGACAACATAGTGCCCAATACAAATACAAAAAATACAAATTACACAAATTAAAAACCCCGATTCATTCTGGCTGGAAGTAAAAACCTATAGATAATATTAAACATTGTTAAAATATTGTTTAAATAAAAAGGTCTTAGCCCGGTGCCAAAAAACAAATAACAATGGCACCAGGTGGACCTCTCTGGGGAGTGCATTCCACAGATGGGAATCTATCAGTGAGGCTTCATTTTTTTAAGGCTGATTGCATATTATTTATATTCAGTAATTTAGTATTTTTGGTAACATTTACATGGGCTTTGCTGCTCCTTTGATGTTTAGTCTGTCAGTTTATGTTGGTTAGCGAGCTATCAAGTTAGTTCATTAATTATTTCTAGACAAACATTTTCCTTTAAAAAAGTTATGATTTACAAGTTTAAAAACTTTTTACTAGTTTTTTTGAAATTTATGTAAATCACTACAGTTGGCTTCAGAAAGGCAGTAGAAAACTATAATTTAAAAAATTGTTCATTCCTATTTAGAGGTGTTTGGGATGCCAAGATCACCACTGTAACCTACCTGTTTGCTCTGCCTTAACAATGACATTGTGTGATGGGTACAGTTCACTTCCACATTGACCTGCAACAGAAAAAAATGGAAGTACAACTTACTATGCAGAAATGCAGGACTTCAAAAGTATACTGCCAAAGCAGCTAATTGATTCTGCTGGCAGGAATCAGTGCTAACAGCTGTGCTGGTAATTTCATTAGAGTAGAATAGGAAAAGAGTCTCCATTAGAATACCTTTCTCCTAGTTCCTTGGCACATCCATATCTAACTCACTAGCAAACATTTTAAAGAAGTATTTCTCCAATAATTGGAATATTATTCATGGGAGAAATTTGAGAGAAAAGCAGATGTGAGTGTAAGTTTTAATGTGTGGGAAAACTCTTAACTATTCAACATAATAATCATCTTATCCAATATTCTAACTATATATCCATTTTCACAAATGGATGAGTCACAGTTTAACAAGGGTTTGAAACTTATACAAATATGTGTTTCATATTTTGAAACACAGTGTGCTCTCCATTCATTCTCATCTATAGCTCTACACATCCAAGATAGTATCCACCTATTTACTTGAGCCAATAAATGACCCAAGACTTAGGTAACATGGCCTATGGACAATCAATTTGCTGCTCAGAGATTTGCTGGCCAATTTGTGTTGCTGTGGTACAAGTGTGGCTTTGATCTTCAGCCATATTAAAGATTTGATATATCTCTGATCACCATATGAAAAAGATGCCACAAACTCAACAGCTATTTCAGCATATCTGGAATGTAATTCTGGAGGGAACAAAGAGGTATAACGTTGTCAAGCTTTTAGAAACAGGTTCTGTTCACAGTTATTTCATGGCTCCATTAACAGGCTGGTTGTTCCAACACTCTGCATATATTCTCTGTGACTCATAGGTTGTAAAGGAAATATTAAATAGTGAAGTTTTTCCCTCCTCTTTATACCTACTTTTCTCAATGAAATTTACAACTGCGTTTCACCTGTTTAGAAATCCTGATCCCAGATTTCCCTACCCCAGGCTCCCAGATGCAGTTGAATTGCAAGTATTATTAGCTTTGACTATTGGTCAAGCTGGCTAGAAGTGATCCGAATTGTATTCCAGCATAATATATGGGTACCCAAAAATGGGAGTGGCAGCATATACTTCAGTGTTTATTTACCATTCCACTTCAGATGTTGCAGGTTGGTGTAAAGAAGGTGTCCGGCAGTGCCAGCTGCCCGAGTGAAATCTTGCAAAGTCATGTTGCACAGGTGGTCCCCGCTAATATCAAACTCCTGGAAAGGAATGCAGTTGGCATCGAGCTGGTTGGTATCCAGGAGATGCTGGAGCCATTCCCAGACCTGATATTTGGTCCAATATTGAGGCTGAATTTCATGCCACTGAGTTCCAAAAAAACTGCCTGGTGCTGCAAGAAAAGATTTGGTTCTTTGCTGTATCATTTATCATCAAATATTTCCTGAATGATATTAGTCAAATGAGACACTATTCTTTTATTTGCATATTAAAACATTTCTATCCTGCATTTTCTATCCAAAGACTTAAAACCACCGATGCAGAAAAAAATCGTAAAAACTAAAACACAATCACCAAACAGCAGAAACAGGAGTAAGAAGAGCTAATTAAGGAGCAGAACACCAGCAGAGGAGGCAAAGGCAAGTGCCCTGAGCAACTAAAAGCAAAAGTAGAAGCAAAGCCTTCAGACCACAGCTCACAAAACCAGTCCTAGAATGGTGCTCCATTCTCTCAGGATCACTGAAAAAACGCCTGAGCCCAGTAACTGCTCAAGACTGAGGATCCCAAAGCAGAAACTGAGGGGAAAAAATGTTCAGGTATGGATGCTTTGCATGCAAAAAGTCCCAGGTCCATTCTGCACAGCTCCAGAATCCTTCCTAAAACCCTGGAAAGCCACTGCCAGCTGGTGTCAGCAGTACTGGCTTGATGGCCCGATTCCATGAAAATTCCTAATCCCTGATCATTTAGAGTACTTCCACAACCTGATTCCTTCCAGCTGCTTTGGACTACAACTCCCAGTATATCTGACCATTGGCTGTGCTGGTTGGGGCTGATAGGAGAGGAATTCCTAAACAGTTAGAGGGACCACATCAGGGAAGGTTGGTTTAGGGCTGTAAAAGTCAACATCAGCACTTTGAGCAGTACTCAGAAGCCAAGTGGAAGACAGTGAGATATTAGCAAAAGCAGAGTAACGTGTAGCCTGCACTGCAGCAGTGTATACCTGTAGGAACAGAAGTTTTCTTCTTACATGTCTGGAAACTGCAGACTAATTATTCATTCTAGAGCAGTTTTTGCATGTAATTTGCATGTAATTAGATTGGTGTTTTTGTATTTTAATTTAATGTTTATATTTTTTAATTTAATATTAGAATTATTTTTTTTAACTTATTGTTGTAAGCCACCCCGAGGCTTCGGTGAATGGGGCGGCATAAAAATGTTTAAATAAATAAATAAATAAATAAGTTTTGCATGCTGTGAGCTTATGCTCTGAAGCATTGTGAAGTAGGGGTTTGCTGATGGTGGCACTGGTTAGCTGGTCTCAGTGGTATCACAATTCTCCAGCACTTGGAGCAGTTTTTTTTACTCCTCAATGAGTTCCTTATGAAATCAATAAGATGGATGGATGGATGGATGGATAAATGCATGCACATTAATGCTGTGCTTTTAAAAACAGAAATGTCACTCAAACATGGTGGGAAGGACAAGACTGAGGCTGAGCTAATATGCACATCTGCTATTTAAATCACAATGAAAGCCAGTCAGTCTTACTACATGGCTAAATGGCTGTCTGAGATTGTAGTACTGCCCCTCTCTGCCTGTTCTACAGCCAACCAGGGGCTCTCCAGTTGTTTTGACTGAAATTCCCAGCATCCCTGCCCCATGCCCAGGCCAGGAGGGGCTGATGTGAGCTGCAGTTCAAAACATGAGGAATAGAACGCTACCTGTATTCAGAGCAGCAATTTTCTCCCCTTCAAAATCAACACATGCTTTTCTCATGTTATAACTGGAAACTAAGAAGGCAAAAGGGTCTGAGAGACATAGAGACCCTGAAGTAGAAATGTGCAACTTGTGGCCCTCCAGATGTTTGAACTGGAACTCCCATAAGCTCTTGCCAGCTTAGCCTATGGTAAGGGATGATGGGAGTTGTAGGCTAAAATGTTTTGAGGGCTTAAAGTCTCACAAACCCACAAAACATATGGTGTTGACATACAATAGAATCCTGTATGACTGGAGCACTGCTTTATCAGAATAGGACTGGATGGGGGATGCAGGTTGTTTTCACCATTCCTTTTAGAAGGTAATTTTGAAAGATAGCTTTTCCATCTCATGTGATTTGGACGGATATATTCTGCAAGTGTCTTATTTTGTCTCCTATTGTTTAATATTTTTCATGAAACTGCTAAGCAGGGGATACAGAATGACGTGTCGCCCATGTTCTGATGAGATCCATCACTAGCTATCCTTCACAACTCTTCCTCAGAAAGCAGTGGAAGTTCTGAAGTGAGTGACTTCAACAGTAGATTTTACTCTATTTTATCATAATGACCTATTTATTGTTGCCTGATATTAACTATTTAATGCTCTTATTGCACTGGATCATTTTTATTGTTCTAATGAGCATGTTATTTTAAATATTGTAAGCTGCCCAGAGACTCCATTAGGAGGAGGGAGTGGCATGTAAATGCAAAAGTAAATAAATAAATGAGCTAATTACTTCATGGTCTCAATTCTTTATCATGCAGTAAAATAAAATAGCAGCTGCATTCCTGAGTTGTTGGGAAATTTGAAAGAAATTCAGCACAGGGACATGGAGATAGGCAACCTGTAAATATACAAGTTCTCTTTTTAGCTAACTTCACTGTAGGAAGGACCAAGGATCTTATTCTGTACCGCATTTCACATAAGAAATAATCCATCCTTTCTATATCTTGTGAACATTACATATCCAAATATGTTAAATGAGACAGGCAAATAATTTTCCTCTCTGTTCCTCTATTAATCCATTAACCAAATATCTAGTTCCCCTTTCTACAGAGTTAAGTAGGCATTCATAATTGTCATCATCATGCCTTGGTTACCTGAGGTTCCAAACTGTCATTTCTCAGCTCCTCCAAGGCCCATGCTCCTTTCTCCAACCCTTGATCATTTGATGGTTTCCTAGATTTCTTGCAGTTTATCCCCCATTCTAAAAGGCTGGCATATTTCTTCTAAGGTTAGTTATTGTCACCAATGGTTTTATGCTAAATATACATTGGGAACTTTTGGTCCTTCCATTTCTGCCTTCAGCCCTACCCACATTTGAAATGCAGTCTCAAAGCTTCTCTGAAATGGAATCAGGCCTAGGGCTGAAAGAGTTCCAACATCCCAGCACAAAACTGTAGCATAGGGGATATGTGGCTGGTTGAGAATGATCACTCAGACAAAACATGCAAGTTACAGACACATAGACATGCATCATTATTTCACAATAAAATATGCAAAACTAAAACTAAACTGAATCAACAATTTCACAAGAGAAGAAAATGTTAATTCCTAAGAACAACAAAGGCCAAATTATATTACGCATAATTGTATTTTAGCCTTCATTAACTATGTCATTAACTTTCACAGCTGGTGTGAAAAAGGCAAACTCCTTGCTATGCATAATTAAGAACAGTATAGAAAATAAAACTATCAAGATGGTACTCTCCTTATACAAATCTTTGGTACAACCACACTTAAAAAATTGTGTTCTGCTTTGGTCACGTTATCTGAAAAAGGATACTACTGAGTTGGAAAAAGAACAGAGATAAGCAACAAAAATGAACCAGAGGCTAGAACAGGATGGAGCAGCTACAACCGTTTAACTTACTAAAAAGCGTAGGGAATATGATAGAGATGTTTAAAATAATGCATGATGTTTAGAAAGTGGAATGGGAGAGATTTTTCTCCCTCTCTCATGACACTGGAAACTGGGGTCATCCTATTAAGCTGATTGGAGGAAGGTTTTGGACAGATAAAGGGAAATGCTTCTTCACACTACCTGTAGTAAAACTATGGAATTCATTGCCATGGAAAGTGGTGATGGCCACAAATTTTACAGCTTCAAAAGGGAATCAGACAGATTCATGGAGGAGAGGCTATCAGTGGCTACAAGTCTTGCCAGCTCAGTGCGTCTTCCTGTTCCAGAGGTGGCGTGCCCGCACGCACCAGTTGCTGGCAAGCTTGGGCAGACAGAGGTCTTGCACCCATCAGTGCCTTCCTGAATAGCTATACATCAAGCTAGCATGTCAAGTCACCTCTGCTAAGCTGGAAATGGGTGGGTCACCACATGTGGAAATGGCACAGGCAGTAACTCCTTCAGTAACTCCTTCCAACTCTAATATTATTCTACTCTCTCCTGCTTGAGGGATCCTTTGACATTATGTGTATGGAGTGCTGGACTAGATAGATCTTAAGTCTGATCCAGCATAGCTTTTCTTATGTTCTTATACCTCACATGCCTCTTAATTGTCATGTTTTACCCATAAATTTTTAACTCACTAAAGAACAATCCGTAGGCAGAGTCCTTTATAACTTTTCACACTTCTGTAACTCTTGATATGGTTAAGAGAACAGACAGGAAATTAAAACAGTAATTTGAAAATAATAAGGAATACCTTATTAAAGTAAATAGGTTTTTATTTTTCTACTTAGGCAAATGTATCTGCATGATGGCATCACAGGAAGGAAGCCCCTTAATGATTGTGCAACCAGACTTTAGCACAGTATAGCATCCTCCTTTAGAGTTAAGGAAAGTATTTTATAAATTGGATCAACTTCTGGGCTTTGAAACCCTAATACGATCACATTTCTATGCACAGAAGTTAGTGCTACCACTTTTACTCTAATTGTTTAGCATTTACCAAGAAGTGCACCTGACTGAGAATGTCCTACATTTGTGACCTATTTGAAATCCACTGGGTATTTCTCTCATTACAGCAAATGAAGAGGTTTCTACCCCACCCAACATTTCTTCTGGCCACAGGTAGCATCCTTAGTATCATTGCCAACAACTACCAGGCCTTATAAATCAAGACAGTGAGAACTGGAATGGAGAATTTCAAGGGGCAGCAATTATCTTTCCTGATGCCAGCAGTAGATTAGTATGAGGAGTTTACTTGGGTGTATTTTGGATGGTGACAGCTGCTGCTGATATAATCTTTGAGGAAAGCAACTTAATACTTTTAAATCTTCAAGGAAATGAATGGGTGACTGCAAAGAATCACAATTAAGGCTTCATACCTAATGATGATTATACCAGATCTCATTCTGCTGGTGCAAAACTATTTTAAAAAGGCACAGTAAAATTCTAGTGAAAACATTTTCCATTAATGTTTAGAAGAGACTACAAATCAGATAATGGCAAGAGAAAGACATACACCTAATCTCCATTCATAGATCACACTGGTGAACTCATCCTACCATTACATGTGGGATATCCATCTGTCCAGGACGATTGTTCATGGAGGAGATTTGTGACAGAATTAAGATTCATTCTGCTAGTTCCTTCTAAAATCATGATCTGTGAACGAATCAAATAACTTATTTAGCTAATATTGCTTTTTCCACAAATATCAAGCATATTCCATCAAAAACAAACCATATTAAGCATTTATAAGAGCACACAGCATGGGATAAAAAAGACAGTTTGCCATGACCCTTAAATGAAATAAAATATCCCAATGACAAAATTTTATCATGACTGATTTTCATAAACATGAAACAAGTTTTTATAGCCACCCAGACATAAAAGCACCACTGTGATTAAGAAAGGAAGCAGAATAAAAAATACCGAGTTTCCATTATCTAGTTTTAGCAAGAGGAGAAAAAGAAAAAGAAGGAAAAGGAAAAGAAAGAGTCCTCTTCCTTTGAGTCATAAAATGTAATTATTTGACTCTCCTTTGAAGAATTATTAATAAATATAAAACATATTAACAAATGAAACAGAAATAACTTGGATTTTCTCTTATTACTAGATCTCAACTGAATTCTGTTTCTCCTTTTTAAAAAAGGAACTTTGAAATATCAGTGATGCATAGACCTCTAGCATATAATAAAGAAAAGTTAGGAGCACCTGAAAAAAGTAGCCATAATATATTTTCCTCAAAATATGTTATTCTAAATATATTTTCTCTCAAAACATATTACTCAGAGGTATAGATCAGGTCAGTTTTTATCAGAATCTGCAGAAATTAATTCCCTTAATAATTCAAGTTCCAAGTATCATTTCAATTCTAAATTTGTGTACATTTCTTAAAAATGTTTTATAACAAATAAATCTATTTCATAAATATAAAACTATATAACTGTTAGTTATAACATTAAAACCTGTTAAATAACATTATAACATTGGACCTCAGAGCCATAATTATGAAGGATGTGTGTGCGTGTGTATCAACACACACATTATGTCAACATAAAACAACCCTGCTTCCTTTTATGAAATGTATCTATTTGATTTCTAAAACTGCATCCAATGGTCCCAAATGAGACCCTTAACCAATATTAACAAGACATCAAGATGACAGAAGTAGGACAAATGCAGAAAGGAAAGGAAAGGAAAGGAAAGGAAAGGAAAGGAAAGGAAAGGAAAGGAAAAAATGCAGACTTATTCAACACAAAGCAGTCTATATTTTTAGTTATACCTTTAATTTTTTTAATACTTAGCCCTTATGAATGTGGTGGCCTTTTTGATATTGCTATTGTATTGATATTTTTAATCTTTTAAGTCTTAACAGGTTTTAATGTGTTGCTGTTGTGTCTGTGTGATATGCTAGCTTCCTAGGAAGGCCTTTTGGCAGTTGCAGGTGGCTTATAAATATGTGGATAAATAAACAAATTTTAAGAAACTGGATAACAGTATTTTATGCTGGGCTACTAATGCATTAAGAAATTCACAAATAAATAAATTTTGTATTGGGTTGCTAACCCACTAATACATCAGAAATCCAATGTTGTACCTTCAGGTCTTAACACAGAAAAGCGCAAGTTAACCATGCAGTCTGCTACTGGCCATCATGGTTTAATTAAGCCAGGGGTCTCAAACTCGTGACCCGCGGGCCAATTGCTGGGACGGGCAGGGCACGGGGAGGGGCCCTGCGGTGGCGCCCGGGCCGGCCGCGGGATGAGCGGCCCACCACCACCGCCGTGGTGGAATACTTGATGTGGTCCAGACTCTACTTCTAGCAGCCCCCAGGTAAGTTGAGTTTGAGACCCCTGATTTAAGCCATGCTGGTGGCCACTGTGAATAGTGATTCGTCGCAGTGGCTTACCATGACATCCAAAACATGCTGGATGTTTTGCTGTCATGGTAACAAACCGCTCCATCCCCAAACAGCTCATGGGTTATGGGTAGTTTATCAAGCAACAATCCACTGGGTTCAGCTGTCACTATAAACCATGGTGACCACCTGCTGGGGCTTGAATATTCACAAGAGCCTCTTGCATGAGCTTCACCTATTGGCTGTGGCTTAACTAAGCCCCAATGGGCTGAAATGATCATGCAGGTAGGTGCAATATGTGCACCTTTTAGATCCCAGACTATATGGAATACTTTGAAGGCTCCTCACATAAAAGGAAATAAACCAATGGAACTAAATGTAGGGGAAAACTTCCTTGCCTAAATGGTCCTGCTCTACAACTAGGTGAGACAGTGCTATTTACACATCAGCAAAAAAGAGCATAGAATATAATGAACATTTGCATAAGCAAATTTATTTTACAAGAACCTAGGGTCATCCTACCTAGGGTTGAATTGTGGGAGATTCAGGACAGATAAAAGGGAAATTAGTAACAGGATCTAAAACTTACAATATTTGAATTAAGAATACTTCAAGTATTCAATATTGTTTGATCATAAATGTGACTATACTGGAGTGTATGTAATGTTTTTGATAATTAGGTCTGGAAACCACAAGGTGGACCTGACTCCTATTTCCTTAAGTGCACTGGCCTTATCAAAGACCACTTGGAGGTTGCCCTACTCAGCAGTGTGAAGGCCTGCCTAGCCCCACCATCAGCTGAAGAAGAAAATACAGAGTGCCTGTGTTGCTCTCTTTCTCTCTGCCAGAAAGAATTAGTTGTTTCCCCACAGAAGAAAAAGAAAGGAACACTCTAGTTATTTTTCATGAACCAGAGAAACAAGGGGCACAGTCAATTATACCGTGTACAGCTCAGCCTCAGCACTTTCTTTTGCTATTGTCAAACTGATCTCCTCCTTTTTCTTTTCTCTCCACTCCTATTTCCTTTGTGTGTGTGTGTGTGTGTGTGTGTGCGCGCGCGTGTTTTGTCTTTTAAGCTTGTGGCCTGAGGGCAGGGCCTGTATCTCATGATTTGATGTGCATCTCTGGGAAAAATACAGCTTTCTGAAAATGGGGATTAAAATGCATATATAAGTAACTAACCAAAATTGTTTGACAGGTAATGGACCCAAGCCAAGTACTGTTTATTATTTTATTATGACAGGGAAAAAGAGACTTCTAGGAACCATGAGTAACTGGTTAAATTCAATGAATTCAGTAATGATTAATTTTAGATGGAATGGGACAGGTGCCTGTTCTTAAATGGGCTAGAATAACTTTCACTTTTCTCACCTGGTGTCACTTCATGAAAAGGTTTTATGGCTTCATATAAAAGTTTTATCTATGGAAGAAAAGTTCAAGCCCAATAAGAAGGACAGAAGTATGCTTTATTGCTAACTCTTATCATAAACGCCCAATATGTTACAGACTCCTTTGAAGCACTTCCAGTGGCTGCTACATTATGGCCTTAGCATTTCAGTTGCCTTGTAGAATATGACACTTCCCATAGTATTTTGGGCAAAGCTCTACTGCTATCAATAACCAATCCAAAAAGTGAGACATGCATGATCATCAGGATGTGGGACAAGTAGACAATATCTACTCATTCCCCAAAACTAACCGAATGGAAAAGACAAGAGTCAAACTACAACAGCAATTTGGCCATCCTGGCTAGAGTGACCATCACCAAAACATGTAATTGGAACATAGAGCAGAGAATATGCCTGACCCACATTCTATTTCAGTTCCTATTTTCTGAAGGGGTGGGACAACCAGTTGATACCATGCTGGATGAAGGAATTTAGTAACATATTCTGAAGACTATATCCAGGGGAGGGATATTCTTCAAGTCTGAGGGTCCAATTCAGTTTCAAAGAAGCTCTCCAGGTCTGCATTCCAGTGGTGCTAGGAGGTTGACTAAAAAAAGTCTATGCCATTAGCCACTGAGTTTCAGGAGAGGAAACTTGAGCCATCAATATGCCTTTAGGCAGAGGAGCTACATCAGATGTCCCCTCAATTTATTTTATTTTATTTTATTTTATTTTATTTTATTTTATTTTTGTTGACATAACCTATTTCCATGATCTTGATGGCAGCAGCATAGATACGGACCTTACACCAATGTGCAAAGAGCAATGCTTCCTTTTTTTCTGGGTAGGAAAAAAAGCAGTTTTTGGGAGAAATGGCATCCAACAGCAGTGGGGAAAGTGACCACCATGGTAAGTGGAGTGAATGTTTCACTTCTGTATAATTGTCCTTCTTCACCAAAATGTGCCTCCAACATCAAAACCTACAAGTAGGTTGTAGGTGGGGGTAAAGCAGTTTGGTTTAGCGCTATTTGAAAATCCCCATCATTTTCAAATTGCTGTATGGAATGGAAGACTGTTGTTCAAACACAACAAGACATATGTGGCCTTGGAAACATGTGAATAGTTGTGGTGTTCTCTAGATCTCAACCTGTGTAACTCATTACCTATAACTGTTGAACATGGTAGACAATGAAGGAAGCTCATCAGGGTCTGTTTTTAGATTATTTTATGTTTATACTAAAATTCATACAGGGTGATTTTCTTCTACAGCCCACTTTTTGTCCTCCTTCAAGGAACCCAAGATAGTTTACATAGTCCTCTCTCTGAGAAGAGACAGCCCTGGGAGACAGGTGAGCCTGTCTGGGTGACCCAAAGCCACCCAGCGAGTATCATGGCTGAATGGGAAATAGAACATACATCTTCCAATTCTCAGACCAACACCCTAATCTCTATATCACATCAGGTCTTTACTGGATGTATTAGGCCAACTCAAAGGTCACAACAATCCTGAAAAAGATTTTGGAATTCTTCTTAGGACCATTCCCAACCGTCATAAAAAAATTGATTCTTTTGTCTGAATTCTTGATTGAATGACCAATTTATCTTTAAAACATAGGGCAGGTTTGTGTAAAAGCTGCAGATTTGGTTTGGTAAGCCTTTGATTCTCTGTTCATAACAGAAAATTGCTTAAAATTAGGCTGAGCAATTTTCACCTAGTCCCTCAATTAAATCAATGTGGCCACACCAAAGTAAATCAGAACAGAACTGATGTCTGTGTCCTTGGAAAAGCTTAATGTCAAATTATATGCTAATTTGGAAGAGAAAGTGTTCTTCAGGGCTTTCTCTGAATACACTATTAAAATTATATTTGATACCTCTATAATATCTCATCTTCTTGAAAACTTGCACTA